CAGTTTGCCGATTGTTGCAGTCCTGGGACCACCTTTGGGACAAAGACGATGTGCTGTGCTACTGCAAGATGACCGACTATGGAGACAAGTACCTGCCTGTTCTCCCAAAGTCGCAGCGGCTCCAAGTCCTGAAAAGGCTTCACGACAACATGGGACATCTTGGATTTGAAAAGACAGTCCAGCTTGTACAGGATCGCTACTTCTGGCCTGGCATACATTCGGACCTATGTCAGCAAGTGCAAGCGATGCGCTTTAAGGAAACTACCATACACGCGCCGACAAGCACCTCTTCAGAGTATTCGGATGACTTGGCCATTAGAGTTCGTTTGCATCGTCTTTTTGACAATCGAGAAGTTTAAGGGTAGTTTTGAACATGTACTGGTAGTGACGGACCACTACACAAGATTTGCTCAGGCATACGCAACCAGGGACAAAAATTGCAACTACCATGGCACGTGTCGTGAGAAAAGTACATCACAAATTTCGGCATTCCCGAACGAATCCACTCAGATCAAGGGAGATCCTTCGAGTCAGCCATTGTAAAGGAGCTGTGTAATCTCCTCGGCATCGTGAAGAGCAGGACGTCGCCTTACCATCCGCAGGGCAACGGGATAACAGAGCGATTCAATCGTACGCTGTTGTCCATGCTGGGAACCCTTGAGCCAGACCAGAAGAGTAACTGGGCAATGCACCTACAGTCAATGACGTTCGCATACAACAGCTCGCAGCACGAGACAACGGGCTACAGTCCGTTTAATCTGATGTTCTTGAGGGAACCTAGGCTACCCGTGGAACTACTTGTAACCTCAGGGCAGGAAGAGTCAGATGGAAGTCACCCCTATTCCTCATATGTTCAGCAGCTGGAGAGACACCTTCGGATAGCTTGTGACAAGGTGAAGCTCGCAACGCAGAGGGCACATCACAAGCACAAGTCCCACTACGACAAAAAGGTACATGAGCAGATCCTGCAGCCAGGAGATTGTGTCCTTGTTGCCAACAAGATGCCCAGAGGTCACTGCAAGCTGAAGAACAGGTGGGAAGAAGCGCCTTATATCGTCATTGGTTAACTGGGGGACCTACCAGTGTATACTGTGCAGCAGTGCGGCTCTATGAAACAAAGAAATCTGCATCGAAATCTACTGACCATCTGTCCTTTTGAGGTGGGTGGTTCGGCAGTGGGTGATCTGCTCCCACCACCACAGCAGTTTCAAGATGCAGATACTCCTTCATGTTGCCGGCTCCCACAGCCTCATCAGTTCCAGGAAGAGCCAGACCACCTTTATCTTCTACCTCCACTGCAGTTCTATGATGCAGGCTATGAAACCCCCGATGCCCTCCACCCCTTGCCGCCGTCCTATGAAGCAGCATATGGAACCTGTGCTGGGTTCACCTCTTCCCCCACAGAGTTTGGTGAGACAGATGAGTTAAGATGTGCTGACAGCAGCTGTAACAGTGATGGTTCCCACAGGATGTCAGATTCACCTTCTGGCCCCCGAGGACAAAACTGAAGATGGGACAGACGATGCCCCTGCTCCAGATGTAGGCTGTGTAGGATAGACGCGCCATTGTCTCAGAAGGGTCGTCAAGCCTCCATTGAGTTGGGGACTGGGTTTGATAGGTTCATTTATGCATGTAGATAGATTCTTGTTTAATTTGTTTTGGTAGGTCTCTTTTTATTTTTGTTTAGTATTGCTGAGGATAGCAATGAATTTGAGATGGCGAGGGTGTGGCAGAGGCAATTTCCAGTTGTACTTTATATACATGTAGGAGTGTTACCCTCAAAAGGTTTGTGGTTAATGTGATACCCCCTTACACCTTGCATCATCCTTGTGGGAGTTAAGTTGTGCCCCTTGGTTTTAGCTGGGCAGCCCCTTACATTGTATGCAAATTAGGGCCAGGACACTTCCCTGACCATGCCTTTCCCAAGTAGCCTCTCAGTTTGCAGGCCGGCAGTGAAGTGAGCACACCACATGTTTTTTTTGCTCCTTCTTTATTCACAAATTCTGCCTCGAAAAATCTGGTCTGCTGTAGACTTGGTTGTTTAGGCTTGAGTGCTTTTGATTTGTAACTTTCCTTTTAAGCACTGTTGTTGGTCTTCTTCTTTTTCCTTTTTTTTGGTTTCTTTTCTAAAAATTTACTCTGGTCTTTTTATTTTCTTTTGGTTTTCTTATTTTATTGAAGTTACTTGATTCATTCATCTTTTTTTTTGTACTTTTACAGTTTGGTCTATGGTTTTGTTCAAATGTTGATGGTCTCGATCAGGTTGGTCTAGGTTTTCTAGGTCTCAGTCCGTTTGTTGAAAAACTGCAGCTTTATAATCTCATGTCACGTGACCCCTAGCTGACAATGCCATTTTGACGATTTTGTCCAGGGACCCTCTCTTCACCATGGATTACGAGTATGGTCAAATATGGAATCAGTTCAATTGACCAGAGTGCCGAAGACTGGCTGTTGAAAAGCGTGTACAAAACCTATAGGGAAAATAAAATATTCAAAAGCAATTAAAAAACAAAAGATGACGTCATCATGAGGTCATAAAATTGGGTCTTCATTGCCTGTAACTTTGATGACAGTTGACATTTGCTAAATTAGGATAATGCTACTTTGAAAACATATAAACGTTAATGGGCTAAAAACCCCTATGCAGAACTGCTGCAACTTTAAATTCAAGTCATGTGATTTGCATTTAAACTAAACATTTTTCATGAAATACTTGATATTCTGACTCTCGGGTATATATCAAATCAAATAACAGATCATAAAATATACAATTTCTCTTCTGTTCTCATAGTAATCTGGAGCCGAAGTTGGCGACTACTCGTGCATGAGGGTTCAGTGGTAAAACGTGCACAAAATCTATTGAGAAAAACTGCAGCTTTAATCTCATGTCACGTAACCCCTGACAATGTCATTTTTACGATTTTGTCCCGAGACCCTCTCGCATTCATGGTGTATTACGAGTGTGGACAAAAAAAACGTGTACAAAACCTATGGGAAGAATAAAGCATTCAAAAATCAATAATAAATAACAAAGTGACGTCATCATGACTTCATGCTTTGAGACAAGTCTCAGCAGGAGGACTAAGTGTGTGTACCTGGTATATCTGTCTGTTTGATTTATAAAAGTGCCGAAATAGCTTGTTGAAACCATGCACAAAACCTACGGAGCTAATTAAATATTCAAACTTCTATAAAAAAATCAGCTGATGACGTCATCATAATGTCATGCTTCGTGGCACATCTTTGCCACAGGGTCTTTGCTTGATACAACTTTGATGAAGATAGGAACTGGCAAAGGGACTAAAGTACCGTGCAGAAAAACCCTGTACAAAACAAATGGGGGCTGGGGCAGAAGAACAAGGAGGAGAAGATGAAGAAGAAGGGAAAAAAAGGACAAAATGTTAAAAAGCAAAAAAAAAACCAGAACAAAAAGTAATGCCTTTTCGCAACATTGCGAAAAAGCCCCAAAAAACTTTTAATGAAAACAATAGCTGCTTCGGCAGTGAAGCCGAAGCAGCTAAATATGGAACCACGCTCTGTGTTACAATACTGGGCCCTGGATAAACAATGTCTGTATGCATTTTAAATCACTGCTAAATCCGTGTTTTCATGGACAACACATTTTCAAAAGTAATTCAGCAGGGCTGATCTCAGCAAAATGTTGAGTATGGGTCTCAAGAAATTTTGGGTGAGAATTGAACTTACCGACACTCTCTGCTTGGATGTACCACAACATTGAAGCTTGATCAAACAATGCAGGAGAAACAAACGAGAAAGAAAAAGCATGACAAGAGAAAACCGACAAACCTCGTCGTACTGGCTTTTGGCAAAGAGAAGAGCGCACAATTCACCGTGAAGGGCAGCAAGGGTCAGTT